GAACTGCCCCTGATTCCCTGCGATCACGTAAGAGCAGAGTTGAGCCGAATTCACAGGCGTAAAACTGGTGTGTTCACTAACAAATCATGTGAGCTTTATTCAGCTGATTGATATAGCAAACTGTTGTGGCTGTAGATAAGGCTGGGTTACTGCGGTTGTCGAACTCTGCAGAGGTGATTTGTTTGAATCTAAGATGGCCATGCATGTCAGTCCTATGAGACGATGATAATTGTGCGAAACCAATAAACATTCTCTTCGATACATTTGGATTACCCATGTCAAATGCTGTTGAAGAAGGGTACGTCGAAAGCTCTCCTGTTGTTGAACTTCAGCCTTACCGTCGCACAAGATTATTATTAATCAATGATTATCTCTCCGCTGTCCATTCGAGTGACCAGTTTTCACTCACTTAGGACCCGGCATTTTTATCCTTGTCAGTTTCTACTAGGTTGTGACGTGCTGAACTTTTTAAAGAACTTGATTTTTCTTCTATAATTCAGGTTGGTATACGCTGTCACATGTATCGTTTAGGTGCGCAGAACTATGGGGAACCTGATTCCAAACGTGAATTTGTTGTTTTGTTTTTCTTAGTTTGTTCAGATAGATAAATACAGGGTTCGTACGGCCATTCCTCCTCAGTTTGGTAGAAATAACTTGCCTTTTTAAAGCGTCACTGCCTGTGGACATTTTTGTGATGCAGCCAGGATTTGAGAACTGCGCCGTTTTCTTGAACTAACGGACGCTCAACACTTGCGTAGATAATGGGTACGACACAATTGCCGTTGGTCTGTTGAAAGTAAGTTCTGGCAATAGTGCTGTCGCCGCAAGACCTTACTGCATGCGATCGGTGGTGTAAGTCTATGCCATTGTCTTTCAGCTCCAGTTCGCATAATTTTAGGTCTAGGGAGGCTGAGATAGCCATGTTAAACAACGGCAAAACGAAACGCCAACATGGATTTACGGTAACTGCTGACTTCACTGTCAGTGCGCCAGAAAATCTGTCTTGACGTCTCACCTACCATGGGCGGTTTTCCAAGGTGTCAACTGAAAAAAATAATTCACAGAAGAAAGGCAATTTTTGGTTGGACTTGCTACCGTCCACTGGCCACAAAAAGGTCTTGTGTGCCACCGCGCGACTCTCACCCACTGTGTGTGGGTATGCTTTAGTGTCAGCATGGTCGCCATTGTGGCTAGGTGGTTCGTCGCGACGCCTGTCTCGTGTCCTTTGGCTTTACAAATGAAAGGTCAGTTTGTCGTTGGCACATGATGCGTGTGTGAGCATCCACACTGGACTATTTTCGATCGGTCAAAATGCGTCCTGAGTTTCTATTAGGACAGTCAACGGCAGTGAGGAAAATGAAAAGTTAATAAGAATAGTGCCACAAAGACTTACACAACAGAGAGACAGAACTGACCAAAAGAGTAATGTAAATGCAAATTTTAGAAGAAAAAACAAGATCCACCTGGGTTTTTCGTACCGTGAGGGAAGCGAAAGATATTGAGAGATCCAGATGATAGACAAGTAAGAGCCGGTGAGATGTGCGCAGGAAGAGAATTTCTTTAGCACTTGAGAAAGCAGTCTCAGAGTGCGTCTTTCCACTCAGTCTTCTTCTGAATATGACTGTGTATCAACAAGTCATTCGTTCATTATTTGGCCGATTTCGTGGAGCTCTGATCTGACTAGGTCAAATATACTCTCCGTGCTTACTTTGTGGAACTGTCCTGATGACAGCATTGCTGAAGCTATCATTTATTTACCATTCCGATGATAATCCAAACCGCTTTAAGCGGGCGTCTCGTAAGGTTCTTGTTTTTTAGCCTAAACACACAATATGCGAAACATGGCTTTCACGCATGCCTCATAGAGAAGCCGGTAGAATGCCGTGTCTCGACAGCCAACACAATATGCCACAACCCACTACATAATGAAGGCCTACTGTCTAACAAGCAACTACGAAGAATTGATTCACAAGACTGTGTGTTAAGAGAGTTAACGAGAAAAAATTTCAGAACATTTTGGAATTCGTGATGCCTGTGAATTTCCCCTTAAGTAACAAGAGAATGGGAGAGAATACATTGTGCATTTCTGATTGATAGATTATTGATACTTGAGGAAATGTTTATTTTGTATTCTAGGATGCTGAAGAGGCTAGGTTTACCGTGGGTGTTGCAGGTAACGGAAAGGTGTATCGACACCATTATTTAAAATACAGTAGTGAGGCACCGGCCTTCAACACAGATGTTGTAGTCAATAATGAGATGAAAGAAAACACCACGTGAAATCATCTGTGGTAGTGTTTATTCGAGGTCGTAGGACGGAGTATAAGAGTTGCATACATGCCGCACTATGGAGGAAAATGTCGGTAGCTCAGGTAGCGTAGTTGACCATTGGCTTGTTCGCTGGGCTGGGCAATTTGATTGCAAACGTTTCATCATCAATCGAGGTGACCGCTACGCACAACTACACTCCCCAATAACGCATTGATGATGTCACCTCGATTAGTGATGAAACGTTTGCAACCAAATTGCCCAGCTCAGCGAACAAGCCAACGATATGCCGCACTATAATTCTCTGTTCCTTAAATCATCCGTCCCAGAGTGACAACACCCCTCAAACGATCTCTTGAGCGCTGCCAACCCCCTCCCTCCGCTTCATTAATCGATGCCCACCGGCGGAATATGATTCATTCAACAAAAAATCAGTGCCGTTTTATGGTGGAAAAATAGGTTGATCCCTGTGTAGGGTATTCGCCGGTCGGAATAACCTCCCTCTTTGTTACGACCATCTGTCTACTGAAGCCGGATTTTCTGGGCTTCTTAGATTTCATAATAGTTGTGGAATACTATGCCACAGTTAAACCAACTTAAAATGGCACGCTGATTCCGGCGACGCTCAGTTTATAAATCACCAAGAAAAGTGGGGTCACTGCGTTTTATTCGCTCCTTATGCTGGTCTCGAATGGGTCGAGTGATTGCAAACCAAATTCATCGCTCGCTGACAAGGATATTTAGCATGAACAAAACAAAAATTGAGTAGTGGGAGCAGGAGAAACTGAAATGAAATTGAACCCATCATAGATCTCTGGCGATTCGGTTGATTGATCATTTTACAGATGCCAGACTGAGTGAAACACATCTGGCTCCGCAACCGTCTTATAGAAGTACTACCAAGTCTGGTCAAACTGATGGGGGATACACTGCATTTGAAAGAATAGGGTCTTCTCATGAACAGCCAACAAAAACCACTTCTCAAGTTTAGATTGGGGAACGGCAGCTGGACACGAACTAGAGTAACAGGTAAAAAATCGGTTGTTCTGAAATTCTCCGAGTGGTGCCAAAAATGATTCCACTCGAATTCCAGTCCGCTTGTTCATTTAGATATTGAAATCGACAAGAACTGGTATCATAACCCGAGAGAGAATAAAGGGAAATTGCGTAGCTTTTTGTCATTTCGCTTAATGTAATGTTTTTCATCTGAGCGAAGGATAATGAGAAATTCCAGGAGTTTATAAGAGGTGGAGCTTGAAGGTCTGAAGACACCCACAACAAGAACTCATTCTTGTGTCGATTTCTCTTATCTTTGAAGAACTCGCACTCATCCTCACCATTCCTGAGTCTGGTTTCTGTTGACCGGCAACCACCGAGTCTTATAAGCTATTGGTGGCATATGTGTAGTAGAGGAGTGCATGTTGACTCTGCAAGATGTCTTGCCCTGTTTCAGAACTTATCCACATAGAGCGAAAGGTGACGTCTTAGAAAACATGTTGCATTTTCTGTGCGAGTAACAATCGTCTTATCCTTGTTCCCCTCACATTCGTCTCAAGATTTCAGGTGTTGCACATCTGTCAAAGTCAACCACGCACTTACCCAATGCGTCTACCGGACGGAACGATTAAAAAGGTCACAAAAACCTAGACCTAACACACTTCTCATAAGGTTGCTGAAAAGTCTTCCACAACCCACGAACGATTATGCCTCTCTTGGGGCTCACCTGGTAGGCGCAGTGCTCGAGTTCTTGTCAACCTGTTCTACTTGAATCCAAATTAAACGGAAATTCGACAGGTACTCTCACTATAGGCGACAGATTCAGTCTGATTCATTTGAGTCTCCTATCAAAAAAGACAAATCGTCGCATCATTATCAGGACGGGTCTGTCGACACGATGGTGAATACTTAAGTATTGACAGCAGACTTCACAAATGATCTACCAGCGAGGCAAAACATCCTATCGATAACTCACGCCGATCTGAAATGTGGTAAGTGTGCGCAGTCCCACAGGTTACTTGATGGGCTGGTCGCGAAGCCGAAGTGCATCTCATCACAGTGCTAGTTTATTCAGTTGGTTTATGATTTCTACATCATTCCTTCCACCCTATCACTCTGATTTTCGTTGTGCTACTCGGCGGGTCAACTACGATTGGTGTCAGGACAGATTTGTTAATCACGATATAAAACACGACTTGTTATCCAGATGGCAAAGGATATACTGACCATGAACCCCTGGTCAAGTGTATTGGTGCGTGTTTATAGGATTCCTACAGTACACCAACTCAGCGGCCAGATGTACAGCTTGCGCCTGGAAGCCTCTGCGGTGACGAATATCCGGAAATAGGCCGGTTACCAGAGGCAATCATTCCTACTCATAGGTCGATCCACTTCTACGGTATTTGATAGATTTTGTCATATAGCATTCATCAGTTGTGCTCCACCATACTGCTCCAATCCAAAGGACAGGTCGGACGTAGGTACGTTTAAAAGTGCCGCACCAATACCAAGAGTAATCGGCCGAAAGTGCTATATTCGGATTTTTAATAAGGTATTAATGCGGATAATATTCGGCAGGATGTTCACGGATAGGAAAGTTGGAACTGAACGACACGCCTCGACCCGTCCTCACTCAGGACGCAAAGCAGTGCCAAGTAGATACACAAAAATCAGATATTTCACCATAGGTTGTTTCGTCCTTACCACTGATTATCACTTTCAGCACCTCGTACCAGGATCGACGTCGTAACGTACGCTCAAGCACGGGCCCAGAGACTGGTGCTAAGTACAGAACATGCAATGGATCGTCGAAAAACTGGACTTGATGCAAGACCTCAACTACAACCGAAACACGGATCGAGCACCAAACCCCTGAGATAATGAAAAACCGAGCCCCCATGCAATCCCTAAAAGTAATTCATTGAACCTTCTCGTTGAGAAACTACTTCACAGAGGAAGAAAACAATCAGCGTAGGCCAGTTTTTAGCCATACATCTAGCCACCGTTTTACCGGTCCTTGTAGTCGCCCAGAGTGGAGTGTGAAAGCATCGACTTTACCAACAAGCTCCGACCAAATGGTACCAATTCCAAACTGTAACTGCTGTCCGATTTACTATTCCAGCTATTCATTATCAGAGCTCGTCACGTCTTTAGAATTCATTTGTGGCCGTGGATAGTATACTGTCTCATTTTCCTATACGGAGCATTCCTTGTGTCAGTCGTACGGAAACCCATTTTATTCCTAACCGATTCGTCTTTGCAAACTGTAGACCAGTGCTATCATTCATGTGGATCCCCTTCCAGGATAAAGCTCGACTCTCTGGGTAAGTGATCAACCCACGCGCAATGCCTAAATACAACTCACGCGAAGACTACGTTTTCCGGGATAGAGCCCTTTTGCTTCCGTGGAGCATAAATGAAAAACGAGCTGCCGAAAGAGTAGTGTACTGTTTTAGGCCATGGATGTGGCAGTGTAAACAGACTCTATTTATTGTCGAAGACTGGATAAAAAGTATATCCTGCGCAAAACTGGGACGTGTAACATCGCAGAAAGGGACATACAGCTGGTGTGAACTCCAAATATGTTTGAGCCAGATGCCGTAGCGGAACCTCTGCTGTCCATTTCGATTTTGCAAACTCTACCGATAGGTCGCCAAGGGGAGCCGAAGCGCGAAAAGGTTATACATTTTTTTGCCCACCGTCATCTTTGAGGTAACTCAGGGTATACGATTGAGGAGAGTATCACTTGTAACGCAATATGAGAAGCGCCGGCTTGAAATTCGAGTGAAGCAGACGTAAATGGACTCTGTTATAAACACAAACAGCCATCCTCACCGCGGGCAGATTACCTGAAGACTGTTTCCACGAGCTTCATAGATGTAAGGGGATATCTTCTGAGAGTTTGCATCTATACAGAAGGACAGCTTTAAATGCGCATATACGTTTACATGTGGTTATACGGCAGTGAAGCATCGGTGTTGAACACTGATGTCATGCTGTCGATGATGATGATACGTTTACAAGTACTATGCTAGGGGAACTCTTTTGTGGTGTTTTCGAACCGGCTTGACTGAAAACGAACACAAACAGTGGTGTCAACAGTGTATCGATCAGACCAATATCGAGAACAAAGTATAAATATATGTATACGCATACGGTGGTGAATAGGCAAAATACCATATCGCTGTGGGGGTGCATGCACGCGATATGGATATGCAGAGAAAACGAGAATAAAGACGGGAGAGAGAGAGAGAAAATAACCAAACTCTGGAAAAAATGAACAAGAGACATATGTGCTGCGCAACCTGTAGTAATAATAGTAATGGTAAGACCTGGACATGTGAGTGTACGAGGTAAATGTGTAGACGATCTGTAAGAAACCCGAGAGAAAACTAATCACACAGTACTGGACACAGTACTACATAATGAATTTGCCCACAGAAAAGGCGACAGTGAATCGACGACTATAATTCATATGAAGGATTCATATGGGCGAAGGGAGGCACGAGCAACAGTAGATACTCAAAACGTGTAAAATGTACGAAAACGATTCTGGAGCAGATTAATAGGCTCGGGTAGGCGGGCAAGAGTAGTCAACGGAAACTAGAAATGTAAGAGTTCGGATAACTGAAAACGCGCGGACGAATAGTTTCGAGATGGAAATGGTGAGGGCTTCATGCCGCTAATCAAATGCGTCCAGATCTCTGGAGATAACCGACGAACCGGGAGGTTGCACGAGACGTGCCCGCCAAAGGAGCCTAGGTCTGGCCTGATTTTGACCAATGGAAGTCCGTGGGACAGTGGGAGTAAAATAGCACGAATCTGCTCCACACTTTTGGCAAACAGGGTACGAAAGCATTACTAAACAAGTACGGTTAGCAGAACGAGCGGGAATTAGAAAGAGAGAGGCGGAGGTTTGGTGGTCGATCACATAGAAAAATAACGATTATCGAATGTGCAACGTGCTTGTTAATTAGGGTCTGGAAATGAACTGGTGCGACTAGCATGGTAGCACGGATTGGATGCTAGAAAACGAAATTGTCACAAGTTCATTTTGGACTCATTGATTAGCGATCTACTCATTGGCGATGCAAATAAAACATGCAGATCACATAGAACTCATATGTTAACTGTGCTATACCGTTGATCGGGACAGGAAGGATGGCCTGTGTGGGACGATGTCCAAAAACAGACCGGATCATGAAGCGATAAGTGAGGTAATTGTCAACCGAATGAGAGAAGCTGGTGGTTCACCCAAAAAGTCACGTATGACATGGTACAAAACAGCCGTGTGGATGGACGGAGAGTGAATCAAAGATGGCTGAGCGGCATAATTCTAGTGAACTCAGATATGGAGGAATTCAAGTGTCGTTGGTATGAGCGGTGGCGTCAGTAGATTCTGTAGTGACACCAGTGGGAACGACGGCGGCAACATCTCCACTGCCAATCCCACCAGTACCTGAGGAACCGAAGGAAAGCATTGAACTTGCTTGCGCGCCACAACGAAGCATCCCCGTGGCTGTTGTGGAATCCACTCCGATGCCTTTGAAGCGGGACACTAAGGACTGGAATGAAAGGAGGAATTCACCCTTTATCCATTAGTATATACAGGAACTCGAAATGAGAATGAAGTAGTTCGGTTATAGGTTAAACCGATTTTGGTAGAGTTAGTAACCTGTAATCTATCGATGACTTGGCAGCAGGGAATATATATCACAATTCAAATATAGATGAACGGAATCCCCTGTTAGTACAATTATCCTTTACTCCATCTAGAAAACCAGATAAAGTGATGAGAAAGGTCCCGAGTTCTAGTGTCAGATAGGTGTTTGTGCGCAACTTATCGGAATATCATCCACAAAGCTATTCACACAACACAGTGACGAAATGCCTTGCCGGATGCGTACGGTTTGTATTTCGAATACACGTAAACACCAATCACAGATGTAAAACGTCAAAAGAACACAAAGCAGTCAAACAGAAGTCAAAGCCCGATTGTGCATGAAGTTGCACAAATTTGAGCATCAAATATATGCGGTTTCATCACTTTTATTATCCAGGCTGTTACAGCGACCTTCAATTGCCAGTAGCTAGTGGAAAGAAGCTGCCCTTTGGAGGGCGCCACAACAGGGTATCTGTCCTCAAAATGGCCAGAAACTGAGAAGAGATAGTTATCAGCTCAAATTATACGACTGACAGAAGTTTAAGCCTCAAAGCAATAGATAATCACAGGATCATCACCGATGTGAACGCACGACGATTAGAGGTTCAGCAAAAGACAATGTCCCCGCCATTCTCAACCTGAAACCTCCCGTGGTCAAAGAAATGTGCACAAATCCAAGGTGTCCTCATCATTGAAACAGAAAGAATGCAGATCCGGGTGGATCCACACGCAAATATGGTGAAAGTAGAGGAATGCAGAGAAACAAATCGCAGGGTTATTAAAGAGGGCCTGAGAAATTCAGCACTGGTCGAATAGTCCTTCGGAAAAAAACTATCCCAAGGAAACTTGAGCAAGTGGACCTATTATTTGTATGCTCCTTTATTAGCTATGGAATTTCGAGGAAACGTTACGCCTTAGTTACAAGAAAGCCAGCCCTGTCATGTAGCACCTGAAAGCCGCGCATTGATTGAGGCAATCCAAGCTGTCTCAGCTATTGCTCAAATGACGATGGGAAGGAAAGTGGGGATGATCGTGTGTTCAAGGTGATAGCTTGTATCAGCTTAATATATGAACTGTTAATGAAAAGCAATATTCAAAAGATAATAGTGTTGGCGATGTTAGTGGCTGTTTTGGACGGATACTCGACAGGTATGAAGCGTGGACGACACTGACTACGTCAGTGAGTAGTTATTTTAGTTGCCATCCCTCCGTGCGTTCTGCTACAGAGTCCTTGTCCGAATTGACTGCAGTTGCCAATGAGACTTAGCAGAGTGTACCAGCTTCGTTAGTTTGGGAGCTCAGGGATTCATCTAAAACCCAAAACCTCAAGAAACCCAACCAAAAACTGGGGGAAAGCATGCTCTAATCTCCCCGTTTTTCGGTCAAAATACCGAATTCGGTCTTGTAAAACGCCCTTTCACCGGTCAAAACACAAGATGGGTATGTTACTGGAAAATGCGAGATAGAAGAGCTATCTTCAATAGCTGAAAGTTTTTACCGCACTAAATATCCCACAGAATTCGGTAGGAAGATGTGTCAAGTTTTCCTCGAGAACAGAGCTGTCTCTCAAGCACTCCAGAAATACCGTTTCAAATTCCTCGGCTTCGGAGAATCGCACCGTAAATTCAGCTTTTTCTAGGTTCGGTGACGGAAACTACCCGTGTTTCGCTGTCCCCGTCATTACTGATATAGGTGATAGTCTTTCCAATAGACATAAATGGCTCTATTTCAATCACCAAACGAACCGTGACAAGTTCGTAAGTTACTAGGTCAAGTAGTAGGAAAGCTCCTTAGGGCCATCTATGGGACGAATTTCGCTGCCCATTCGGGCATCAATGCTTTTGGGCTAACATGTAATTCCCCAGAGTCAGACGAAATCTCCGGAGCGCATTCCTAGAGACTTATGAAAATAATTGGGGCGTGTGAAGTCTAGAAGTAGCGGTTCCACGATGGCAAGAAAAAGATAATACGGTGAAGGTAAGGATAGTGTTTTTACAAGGGTCTGTAGGGCCGTTGGGCGGGGACGGCGTTACATCGAATGCCGGGGTAATGCAGAACCTGTGCCCTCCAGCAGTTTGAGTAGTCGAAGCTTAGTTAAACGATAGCCTGTCATTATTAGAACATTACCTCAGTTCACAAGTCAGCGTGGAATTTTTTACACTGACTTAATCCACACATACAGAATGTACCGGAGATAATAAGAATGCATTAACAGTCTCTTAGCGCTTTGCTAACCACGATGACTGAATGAGATAGAAAGCCAAGAACCGTAGAAATATTTGAATTCTGTATCAAAGAGTCAACAGGTCGGTACGGGACAACCATGTGTATATCAAGGTCCGGACATAAAACATTATTTATTTGAATTGAGTATGGGGTGAATACAATCTACGGCGAATCTTGATGGATAACAATAATTCAGATTGCACGGTAAGATTTAATGCACAGCCTTACTGGCGTCACACGGGTATCAACCTAACGCCACCAGAAAGAAAGAAACACGTGGGCTGTGGTACTACTACGTTGCCCAAGCCTGGACAGAAGTAGAGATGCAGACGTCAAGTTCGAACCAAGGACCTTCCGGTCAGTAAACTCGCGCCCTAACCACTGACAGGCAAAATAGATCTGGACGTGCAAGTGTACAAAACGTCAAAACATCGAACGTCTCCAAGATTGAACGTTCAATTTACCGAGGAAGATAAGTTAGTTAAGATAAAGCAGAACGTCAAACCTCAGTAATCATCAATGTTCAAGGGTTACCGATGATGTTTTTAACAACCATCCAAAACTTTTTTTGATTTCCAGTATCAGCTCAAATTGCGATGAATGAATAAGTTACGTACCCAGTGGTGACCTTTACATACATACATTGCGCTACACAGCTTTTTAGTGTTGCTTTATTAAAGTAACGAATATAGAAATGAGAATGAATGAAAAGGGCCCCCGGCACCCAGTAAAACGCAATAAATGCAATAAAATGCAATAAATTAGGGACAAGAAGAAACAAAACTTTATTTTTCAGCACTCCTTCAGTTTAGAGTCAAGAAGTGCCGTAATTGGAGCACATACTAGTGCACAACCTAGTCGTCTGATCGTGTAACAGAATGGTGGACCCGAATACCTGTATATCCTGTAAACGCAGCAGTACTTCTCCAGGTGGTATTGGTTTGACTGAGCCATAGTGAGCACTGTTTTGTTCCCCACCAGAAGATTCCAGACAATCTTGCACTACTGCCGCCTCAGATGTGGTCGAAAACCCAAGCAATACCCAACGGGCTGCCATGTGTGGGTGAAGCTCGAAATCCGGCTGTGTTCCGTTGCTACTGTCACTGCCAGTTGTTGCTTTGATATGTTTGCTCAGGGCACTAGAAACAGCTAGTTTTAACACGCCGACAGACACATGTGGTGGGATATTATGGACGAGTAACCAAGACTTGGAAGCTGCCTGACGTACGTCCCCACTTGGTTCGTCGCTTGAATCACCAAACTGACGCTGTGGATCGGAGGAAACAACACCTGCACCCGGATCACTACCTCCAACGTCAGACCACCGAGGATCTCCAAGAGCACCATAGGGAGGACGATTTGGATAGGCTGACGAAGACCACCGCCGATCAACAGCATTAGAATATGGATCGACGGAGGCACGAGGAGCTGAGCCGGACCAAGGGCTAGATTCCCATAAAAAGGCACCAGACCCTGAAAGAGGAAAAATGAATCAACAGTGGGATAACGAGGCAAACAACACAAGGATACTCATTTTGGTTGGTCAATCATCTGAAAAGTGTTGTGAAATGCAATTTTGGGGTTTTGCGGGATAGGTGTCTTGTTGTAAAATGATTCAAAAATCGACGACCACCAGTTGCATGGGGACTAATTCAGTGCTACTGTCACCACGGGGTGAACAGTAAGAATTAGGGTTAGATGTGTCAAGCTACAGAATGATGAACCTTCTACATAAAATACCTGCACCTCAATCTGAGTACCGTCTGTAAGTACAAAGCATGTTGCTGTTAAATCAGTTGGAGAAACCCGGAACCCATCGGAGTCAGTCTTTTCGAAATCCCTTGAAAACAACTAACGAGTCTCGCCGGATTAAAAGGTTGGTCAAGTTTTAGGGAGTCAGGCAGAGGAAATGACCAGCGAAACCCAGTGCTAGGTGTCGACTACGAGTGCCCGTTGCTTGGTGTGGGTGAATTAAATGAAACTGGGACCAAAGCAGAGCTTTGTTTCTTCAGGTCAGAATTACTCCAGCTAGCGAAAGGCCAATATGCTGATAACCTCACAACGCTATGGGTCACATAAGTAAAAATGCAACATTCAGATGTTCTTGATTCTATGCATTCTGGGACGTCCGGAGAACAAGTCGCTGTGATGTAAATTTTAGTTCTCATCTCCAAACAATAAAACTTTTCCCAACTTACTCCATGTCCCATGTTCTATGTTCTATGTTCTTCGTTAGAGCCAATAGTCAGCTCTGTCGTTTGGTAGTATATTGTTCGCTTCAATCACCAATTTCCATACGAAGTTCCCCGGTGGATCTCACAGTAATCATTTTGTATGACTTTGTGCAAACAGGTGATCCTCAACTGTACCAGTAAGGAATACAGTTATCCTTCTTGAAGGCTACTGTGGTGTGACGTCTTGAATCAAATCGTAAATCAAATCGACCGCCACCTAATTAGGTTTTTATTTCTCCAACAAAACGTTTTGCACTACATTAAGAAGACCAGAATGCGGACGTTAAAGACTGGCTGCTCGTTCTCATAACTTTGTGAAGTAGACCCTAGCTGGTAAGTAGTTTCTTTGTTTGATGCCCACTTTGTACATTTTCCCGTCAACCGCTGTAGAACCCCGCCTAAAGAATTGTGTCAAAATCTATGCTCAGTGGTGTGCCTCAGATATTCGCATTTGTGTTAATCTTAGCTATCGCCTCTCGAATCCCCGGGTGTCCCTCGCTTGCATGGAACAACAGCTGTCTCGGTTCGCTCCTTACCGGGTCTGGCTATAAATACCAATGTTCCATTTAACTGAGGCTTAACCAAACTGGTCGGATATCCAGTTTTTGTTTCAACATGGGCTGTTGCCCAGTCAAACCGTTCCGTACAAACCCCCACCAAACTAAATATTGACAAGACAACCCTGGTACATATTGGCTGATGACACCGGTGTTTTCTGTTTTCTAATTTTCCACCATATCTGTGTGTAATACAGTCCAGGAAGAGTATTGGGCTTAAGATGGACTCCACCTGAATTGCGGTGCTGATGCGGGGATTAAAAAATGTGGTGGTGAGAACCTCTGGTATTGTCTAGCTAAAACATGATACAGTATTTCCGACCTGCTACCTGTTTCAACCTGCTACACACCCTCCGTTTGAAGCCTTCTATAAGCATAATGACAATACTCGAGGATAGTAGACAATCGATCGCTTGGCCATTCTTGAGAATAGGCTAACGAGCTGAAAACAGAGGCGTGTGTCCGAAAGTATTCCATCAAAAGAAAGTTTTGTCCAGATGTTCATCAGGACAGAACAGATATAAAGATGTAACGACCAAGGGCTCAAGTACCAAGTTTTTTATTACTTTCCAATGAATTGGTAGCACGAAAACACACCGAATGACACCTGTCGGTATTCTTATTGAGACATGACGGTTACGGAGGAAATGAAGGTGATGAAATAGTGTAGATTTAAGTCTCTTTCTTACTCACCGATCTTAAGACCTGAGTCTGGGATAGCACCTGCATCCAAAGGCTGATCTGTTCCGGTGAACTGATCGAATATTTGGGGCGCCCGTTGTAGTCCCCCTACTGCAGCTGGATTAGTAGAGGGCCAACCACCTGAAGAGAGGATATTGAAAGCACCTGTGCTGGACACCGAGTTGAAGGTGTTCTGCTGTTGAGGAAGTGGCTGAGACGGTGAATGTGACAAATTGGTTGAGGCAGTGATTTGCTTGATCATTCCAGCTTGGCTGCGTACGTGTTTTAGTTGAGCATGTTGTGCCTCAATCTGAGAAGCCACTTGAATCGCCTGCAATTGCAGTTCTTGCATCACCGGGTTCGTGGCAAACTGAACGTTAGCAGTGCGGAGTTGTTTGAGTTTTCCATTGAGCTCCTGTTGGACAGAGATGAAGTACGAGAAAGTAGTGTAACTCCAAACAGTATAAAAACCAGTGCACGTAAGTGGATGGCGAATTCGGGACACCTATCGATCATAAAGCAGACGTTAACAGTTCACGCCCACTGTTGTTACTTTAAGATGTGACTACCGTGGATTACTGAGGAACCCAACATACCTCAAAATGCATAAACTAAAGGAAACGGAAACGAATAATATCCATGGGTATGACTACAGACACATGAAAAATGCGAGTAGCTGCACCCATGTTATCTCGGTGATTCATAAGATTATCTGTTGGTCCTAATAATACGGTACATTTGATACACACACGGATGGGGAGTTTCAAGTCAGCTGCAGAATGCATTACTCCTATTTAAACCATAAATAGTTATATAGGTGCAAAAACAGAAGGGAGTACATATTCAACTGAAGAAATTAAAACCGTATCAATATTTGTCTGGTAGGAAATCCTATTAAGGAAGTCTTCGACGGGTAAGTCATCAGGGGCGTGGCGGTTCGCCTATAAGGTTCGCGTACATTTGTGTGGCTTGAAGTAAGCGACTGTGACAGCTTAGCCGATCAAACCAGAAATCCAATGATTAGACTTCTGTTCATCGGATACTCGCAAACGTGCAAGCTAAAACCCTTTCCATCAAATGCGCATAGCGATAGCTACTAAAGAGAATTACTATACTGATTGTGGAATTAGCAGTTGATCGGCAGGAGATACCGACGCACGCATATAGCGGATATAGTACAGGCATTTGTGCGGAGCCGGACGTGAAGCAACGCGAAAACAGCTGATATCAAAGCGAATCAGAAAGAATAAGATGGGTGGGAAGACGAAACAGCATGTCAAACTGAAATATGCCGACAAAGCAACAATAAAATTCACCCACTTGGTGTTTTGATTGCAACTGCATTATGGTTTGCAAAATTTGAGTTTCTCGTTGCTGTAAAACATGTAGCGATAACTCCAAATTTTCTGCAGGAAGACCAGCAGCAGATAAATTCGTCTTAGGTAACTGCAATACAAAAAGGAAGCATAGCGCATCATAGGGGATAGATAAAGGCACGTTCGGTACAGCAAACTCGAATCAAACAACTTCCTTGTCCAATACGTGATATAAAGTCGCTACAAACGCAAGCGTTGGTACTGGAGCTTCGCTGCTTCACAAATAGAAAAACATTCTGGAAGTAGCGTGGTTACCGCACTAAAAATTCAGTCGAGTTGGACGGAAACTGAAAGTAAGTATGCTGGCTACATCGGATTGTGGCCATTAATGTCTTTGTCTGCAGTGGAAAGCATGGAGAGTCACATCGAGCCCATTCTCATAAATGGGAAGTAACGGCATCCAGATCTTTGGTAACCACAAAGTCGGAGAGCATTCTTACCTCCCTTCGGGGTCATTTTGCAGAAATTTACGTATCATCTCGTAGTATCTAAAAATTGAACTGTCTCCTGTTACGTCGTTTTCGAGGAAATCTGACTACCTACAGCTCCATTTATTCACTTCTTGGAAAGTGAATTCCGTTTCGATCAGATAAATCGGTAGAAGCGAGCGTTTCTAAACCATGACGGATGGTCGGCTGGTTGTGCCTAAACGGTGAGTATCTGTCCGCTACCTGTATGTACTTACACCTGTCTGGAATTCTTTTCCATAAACACCCTCCAAGAAAGTTGTAAGCACTCGGAGTTAGACGGTAATACTATCAAGTTATATGGCGATGGCCCATATTAAACTGTTCACTCTGTCGCCCGTATCCCTGGATTGAATTTATTGTTCCCCCATCTTCTCGCAGGACTTCACGGGAAAGACGATCGGTCACTGAAACATACTTTTGTGTGCAGTCGAAGCAGAAGACGCCTAGATTAACGGTAAGTAGGTTTACAGCAAGCAGGCATCTTGATACTAGATGTAATTTCACCTCATGAACTCCTTTAGATGACCTCCATTCCTATCACCGACAAATTAACAAAACCATCTAGCTTATGTGCTGGTTCCAAGCACAAACTAATGCCGACCTGAATTCCCATGCACCACAATTCTGTTATCGTTCTTCAGGTAATGACGTAATAGCCTCGCGTCTCACCGAACTGTTTAAAGCGTTCAATGAAATGCATTCACAGTTTCTCTTCCCATTCTAACGTAAATGAAACTGATTTAGCATCTTCGTGAGATACCGCTGTAAACTTGCATGCTGACAACTCACCCGAAGGTGCACAAAGCTTCACTGACTGGGCTTGCTTTGCACAGCTCTAAACTACACAAAAGGATATGATCCGTAAGCTATCTGTGTGGCAAACGGACAATGAGCACCTCCTTGACGGAAAGGGCGCCGAACGTAAGCCGGTTGAAAATGAGACCAGCTTGAAACTGAATACTGTTACAATCTACACATACTTGCACACCCCAAATGAAACAGGGAGATCTAAATTAATGGGTATGTCTGGGGCCAACTACCTACCAACTACCCCAAGTTGACGACCCACATTGTGATCAAGTATTTTAATAAGGCTGTTACAACTGCTTTTTTGGGCTCGCATTTTCGTTTGTGTCTGTTCTGGAGATTTACCTCGGACGCTCGTTACATGCAACAACATACCGCTCCACCGGCTCTAACTACAAGCGTCAGATAGACTGACTGTAGACATGCATCGATTAGTGCTCACAAAGCAAGGAAGCTCCGATTCTGGTCTTTACTGATTGTTTTCAATCCGCAGCTCGAAAACGCGGTTGGGAGACCATCGGAAGAGGGTACATCCTAGTCACTCTGACACGGTGCTTGCTTGAAGCTACAAAGAACAACGCAGTAAAGCGTACGGCACATAATGCACAGGACAAAAGAAGAGTCCGAAAGGGAGTGCTTCTAAAGGAAAATTCAAAGGAGGAACTCACTGATTGGTCATATGTGTTCGGGTGCTGTGACGACCGCAAATTTACTGGACGGCTGTTAGAAAGTTGCTCTGCAGTCACGGCATCCTCTAAGTTGCCCATCTGCATGAGTCCACTGTTAGTAAACGACTTTATGATTTCGTCCAACCCCGGATGACATGTACGGTCGCGGAGGTCCACTGTAAGAAACATGGAGAACGTGATCTAATTAGATGCGGTACATTTATACGGTCTGTCTGCCTCAATACATGCAGGGCTAAGTACGCCTGACCGTTCTGTTCAAGAGGTTGAACCGAAAGACAAACCGAACACAATCCATTTGTCCCGGCACCCAGGCGAACAAAATCTGTGAATGACTCCTAAGAGGAATATTCTATTAAGGTATCCTAGACCGGAATAAAAGGCCGCAAAACCCGGTTTCAACATGAGGACAATCTCCCTAACCAATCTATCGTAAATGTTAGTCATCCCCACTGATCAACAAACAGAAACTTCAGACTGACACCCAGCAATGATCAAGGCGGTAAGTCATAAGAAATCTAACGAATTGGTTTCCTGACTGTCTTAAAACACGATCAGTCTGGTGAATTACTCACTTAGCCTGACGAAGCATTTGTGTCAAAAGCGTAACATGTTGCTCAGCAACAAATCCACTGATTGTTAACCAAACCCCTCTGAAAAAGAAACCCGTTTAATATCAGTTTGTCAGCTGTACTTCAGGAACATCTCCATCGTGAACAAGCTTATTGCGTTACATGACGTGATAGTTCTAGGCATAACCTACATCGACAGATAGAACGAAAGTATCCCAATGACACCAATGAAATGGACCGCTATCTATCCGGACTGTTGTGTGGAGCGAGATGGCTTAGTGGTTAGAGCGTGAATTCACTGACTGGAAGGTCCGTAGATCAAACCCGACCTCAACCTCTCGACTTCCCCTATTTAGGCTTGGGTAACCTGGCAGTATCCCAGCCTTCGTGCTTTCTCCTGGTGGCAAGGCAGCTAGGCACCGGAAGGGTGTTACAGCTGACCGATTTAACGCAGATTCCCTAACTTTGAAGTACCAGTTGAAAAATTTATTTTGAAAACCTCTTCCTGCTTAGTCCTGTCTGTGGTAACACAAAAGCATTCAAAAACTATAGGATAGTACATGTTGTCATCTGAGCAAGCATTCACCTATTTTGGTTACAGATCACCCGATCTTGGTAGGCAGGAGTTCCAGAACCCAACCCGGCTATATTACCTAAACGACACGGAATGAAACGAAGTAAAACTTGCAAAAACTCAGAAACTCTATGATAAGCCTCTAAATGGTGAAACCAGGAATGGGTTGTTGGAGTCTTCGTGAAGCCTACAAGCAGCACCGTTTCAAAGTATAGTAACACTCCAAGTACCAAACAGACTAAGGATCCGGATAGAGATGGCTTTCGTTGTGTATGATCCCACTAGTTCCTCTAAACAACAGGACAATGATGAAACGTTGGTCAGGTTGCGTAGCTACTCGGCTCGAAAAAGCATACAGGAAAGTGTAAGAATTCGCATACGTCGGACTACACATCAAAGCATATAAGTGAAAGCCGAAATGTAACAGACGTAAGCTCAGGAATGAAAACCTACTCAGGGCACGTTCCACATTTGTGTTAATATCAGAAAAGATGGCCTGGACTTCTTCATCAGCAAACCCCAGATTTACGAGTTGGCGCATCGCATTAGCACGGAGTACACTTTGCTGTTGAAGCTGTTGTGAATGTTGCTGCGGGCTGAGAAACATGCGTTGGGCAGCCGATGAAGAGGGCGATAACCCAGAACCCAAAGCAGGGTAGAAGGCACTGTGGGGAGTTCTGAACGGTTGCTGATTGGCGACACCCGTGGCATTGCGTGGTGGTGGGATGATGGGTGTGGGAAAATCGCTGGCAACAGAGCCAGGTTGGCACATACGGGGAGGTAGGATTGGATGCGACGGATTGAAATAGCCGGATGTCTCGGTCGAAGGAGGTGTGGACCAACCACCTGGCATCAGACTTGGCCGCCTTGGGTCAGTCAACGGCCAGCCGCCTGGCATCTGCGGAACGTTGCCGAGTGGAGGCCAGCGCATTCCTGCTCCGTTTGGATTAGACAGCAGATGAGGGAATGTATGTTGTTGCTGTTGTTGCTTCCCAGCCAAGCGATTGAAGTGGGTGTTTGACCATCTCCCCTTATTACCAAGACCCACACCAGGAGCTGTGTTTTCGCCTATGACAAATAGGGACAGATCGACAGAACAGGATACTTCAGAATTAACTGAGGAGCTGTCACAAGCTGCTGTGATGCCAAGGTGGAGAAAGTATAAAATCTTCAGAAAAGATATATAAGCAGAAGTTACTGCATTATCGTAGAATCCTAGCACTTGATATAAAGTAGTTTCTCCAAAAAATATCATTCAGAGGACAGGCCAACTAGTCTTTGTAGGAGAGACGGTTCTTCTAAATGAAAACAGGATCAAAACACAAATTCATACAGCTTAAATTCAGACAGTACAACAGTGATATTCTGCTCCCTTCTATGAAGTTTTGCCCTAACACATGCACATTTTAACATCCAGAAAAACAACCACCGCAGAAGACGGCACTTGTCCTCTGAAAAGACCGTCACCTTAAAGGTGATATGTGAAGTATAATCATAAGCCGATGATGCAGGATTGATTGCAAACTTTTTTGCTACTCTCACAAAAAGTAAGGTCTTCAAAAAATTTTCGTTTGCTTGTAACCATCACTAGAAGAGTTCTTCCTACCAGGTCAGTAGTGTCATGACTCTTGACTGCGTGGGCTAATGGCAACCCGTACGTTTCAACTTTCCAAAGGGAGTCCCATAAATAAATGGGTCCACCACACCAAGCATTATGGCCCATGTGTAGGTGTACGAGCGTGCGGCCAAATTCTCAAACCTTATCATGAGGTCATGGACACAAGTGAGTGGAAGCACTAGTGTTCAAGGTAAATGTATCGACCTTGAAATACAAATTGTGGTTGGTCCCTCTTGGGAGGACTGCTGTCAGACGAAACAATAACGGAACAGCGTTACCAACGTTCCTTATTCAACTACAGGACGAGCCGTAATTGCCACCACGTTCTTTCACCAAGTCACAGTTGCCCACTTTATGGTTTGCCGCAAACTCAAAGGGTTTTCGGTGGAGATTACGAGATAGTTGTGGAACGCGATTGGGCCATTGCAATTAGCGATGTTGCACAAGTGCTTCAGTCAAAATCCCCGTTGCATCAACGGTTGTCAGCATCATTATGCACAGCAATACACCCGTATTAAATGCTGATGCTTAACTGCCATACGTCGTGGTGGGATGAGCTTACTGAAGTGCAGAAATTGAAGGATGAACATTCATTGCAAAAGGCTCCGTATCGTTGAGGAAAACAGTAGAAAACGGGTCGAAATACTCATATGAGGCAAACACGAGGACATTATTGCAGTTTTGAGGCACCAATGGTCAACTGCCACCCTAGGAGACCGTATTTCATAGTCACACAACAATATGACCAGCACAAGCCACTTCGACGCCAATTTACAGGATCAATTCTGCTCTTGAAGAAACGATGCAAAAAGCGTCCCTTAAATTACGAAATGTTCACCAACTGTCCCTTGAACTTTGCTGAAACCGCAAGAAACATACGTGTTACCGCTCTGGTGAACAGAGTGATTTACGCAACGAAAATATGAAAGTACCGAGAACAGTGGACCCAGATATCAGGGGATCTCCCCTGAAAAGATAACTCACACAATAGTCTGCCACCCGGAATCCAGGGGTTTCAGTCAGCGCCCTAAGATGATAGGATGACGCTCAGCCTAGTCTTGCAGCAGTAATCAAGTTGAAACCCTATAGGATTACCACACTGAAAGTGGGCAATATTGATCAGAATTTAGTCCTTTGCTCAAATGGAAACAAATAGGAAAAACGAAGGTAGCGAAAAAAGCTGGTTATCCGTAATTGGTCCCCTTAGCTAATACACCACAAAGCTACATTATACCAGAAATCAAGTGCAAAGCTTATGTGAACATCAACAGCACATGCTCTGGAAAATAAAGGGGAATGCATGGGATGGAAGATACATGAGATGAAAGATCAATGAAGCATCGGTGTTAAACGCTGATATCATGCTGTCGATGATGATGATGGTGATGATGGATGAATCAAGTAAGTGATGCCAATTTGTAGCTGCTTGTCTGTGCTTGAATTTCAATTCCAGCCCCACTATCAAGTTCCGTTTAAAAGATAGCTTGCTAAGTTTTACCATCAGCTTGTGTGTACTCGTTTGTATGCTCGTGCCGAGCATCATACGTTGGTCGTACGGCAAGGTAATCGTCCGAGAGAATACGACAGCACAATCCAGTATCCCTTAGTGGTGGCTCGAAGAAACCGAGCTCAAATGCAATTGTGTAACAGCTGGCCGAAACGTCATATCATCCATAAGGAGCATGCGTTCGACGTCATATAGCGGCTGTTCTTGAGCTGGTCACGACCGCTATCAATCACAGAGGCGTTTGAAATCTGGCTGCATGACCCACAACTCAGCGTCCAAAAGGAACTGGTGTGACCTTTGAACCTGAGATGATCTGCTAAAAGGTGACGTCACTCACTTGACTCATCGACCAACGTGGCTTCCATCCCACGCACCCCCTCCCTTTGTTTCTTATTTTCCAGAATGTGCCAAGGATTTTCAGTCGTTGCACGTGATTTCTGATATACTATAGATTTGTGGTGATTTGCTAAAAGGACCAATCGCGGAAGACCAGCTTTGTTCGCTACCGGCGTTCTTCTCATGAATTCTACGGATATCTTCGGGCACTGGGGACAAATAAGGTGGACAGGCACCAGTGTCGGACTTCATTTTCACCCCAAACCAATACTGCCAGTGTATTATTGGTGCGTGAAGGGATAAATACCTTTTAACATAAATACCTTTAAATACCTTTAACATTTCCATGTTAATCTGGTGTGTCCTATTCAGTTTCTGGGGTTCTGTTCCACTGTGCGGAAGTAACTTGTATTGCTCCGACGTGCTCGAGTGATACTATCAGTGTCCAACAAATGTGTTGCACTCCAGAATAATGGTTGTCCGCGTGCTCTGAATACCGTGTCAGATGGAATAAGATATATTCCCCCATAGATTATCCAAAGTACTTCAGGAAACGTCAATAATGAAGAAGTGGAACAGAAACGGCATTGCAGTTTTGTATGACACCGTTCTGTGTGACGAATATGCATGACGCTTTAGTGACGTTCGTATGGTCCTCAGACGGTTCATTGCTGAGCACACACATCTCCAAGAGGACCCAGTCAACCGTCCCAAAGAGTCCTTTGGTAACAAAAACGGGTAGGCTAACAGTGGCCACACGACACCCCACCAACTGGAATTCAGTAATAAACTTTACCCTGTTTCAGGAATAGTCTCACTAAACCAACTGGTAAACTGAGTACCATTGAAAAATAAAGCTTACGTAGATATCAGGCACAGTTAAAGATCCTGTTTACCGTCAGCAGACACGAAATGGCTGGCTGGCATCCGAGTGCCTGGCAACAGTGGTCGAACCACTGGACACTCATACATAGTAAGAAGCCATAAGATGGGTTGCACGGAGCTGAATGCGGTGTGCACAAGTCCTTGGCGTTGATGCAAAGCCAGAGGAATAGGATTGGCGAGGGGATATAGTGCAAGTTATCAGCCGGTCTAAAAAAGATGGCATAACAATGGGCGCCGACAGCAGTTACTCGTCTATTACTGTGACACCAGCGCCATTCGTCAATTCCTTTAATTCTCAACGTACTACTGTATCTCACCAGTACAGCACCGTGCAATTATTACCGAGAGCCACCTATCAAGACATTGTCAAGAATAACCTGACGGTATCCCAGTGACCTTGCTGTTGGTAATGCTGTCAGCCTTAGAATAACAATATAAGAAGGATAGTCATTGGAAAATCGAAAAAAAATTACAAATACAAAGTGGCCATACACAATGTGAGACAACGATATGATGCATGATAACACAGTACAACGGACTGGTCCCGGTTGCCAGTACCAGCTTCAAACCATGTACCAATGGTACATCAGCTCCGGCTGCTACATGTGGATCTTGGTAATTGGTGTTCGATCGCTTAAATGGTAGTGAATCATAGCTCATTCATCAACCACCAAAACATCAAGATTGGAAAAAGATTGTGGCATGTGGAAACGGTTTGGAGTGAAGGTTAATATCAGATGTGCTACCACCATCTGGATTTTTCAGCGAGAACTAGTAGGAAGTGAGCATAAATATGCTTATTTCCTCCTAACTGCAGCAAAACACCGTGTGCTCACGAGAACTGTATCCACTGCGGCACCTTACCAAATATCTGAACTGTCTGCCCACATCGACTGATCCCGTAATCAAATATGTTCACTCGATTAGGTAGCCCAAGTGGATAGAGCGCGAACTTACTGACCGGAAGGTCTGTGGTTCGAACCCAACCTCTGCCTCTCGACTTCTCCTGTCTAGGCTTGGGTAACCTGACAGTATCCCAGCCCTCGTTCAACCTTCGGGTAGCGTGGCAGTTAGGCGCCGGAAGGGTGCTACAGCTGAACGATTTTATACTTGATTAGAACGCTGCTTATCCCCACCCAAGATGTACTGATTGATCGTGGCCAATCCCGATCGTGCTATCCATTTCAAGGCGAGTACATGACATCCGCATAGTGTGCATTCGAAAGAAATGATGAGTGGTTTCAGGAAGAAAATCCCAAATACTCACCTGGTGTGGCTGATGAGGGAAAAGGCCAAGGACCATTTGGTGTGACAAGATTGGGGGAGCTGACTAACGGGAATCCGCGGTTAGATCCAGTTGATGGGGATACATTGTGTAGTGGTGTTCCAATGGCGTGTGGTGCACCTGCAACGGGTCTCGCACCAATACCAGAGGGGTTGGATAATGCACTGGGAAATAAACCTGAAGTTGGACGTGCGAAACCACGGAAACTGGAACCGCTTTCTGAACCCGGAGGTAGCTGTGGTCGAGGATTGGATGCACTTGGGCCAACAAAACCTGCATGGGTTCCCGGGAGAGAAGAAAAGCCCGATTGATTGATATTAGAGCCAACACTCGGTTGCCAACGCGCAGTCCGTTCACCAAGGTTTTCATAATGAGACTCCCAGATTCCTGTGCCATTAGGAGGTTCACTGGGCCAGACATTGGACTCAAGATCACGACCCATTGCGGACCCGCTCAATGAGCCGATACGACGCGGTTGTTGGACCGTTGATGTTTGACCGTCGAACATGCCACTGGTTCCACGGGCAGTCGCATTCGCTACGTCGACTGAGGGAGAACCACATGTAGCTGTATTACTGACATCGTTGAGTTCCGAAGTATCCCATGGGGTGCTTTGGTCAACTGGATGGATACCCCAGGGTTCTGTTGTGTTCACGATCGACCGGACGGCTTCCTCAGGGTCAGTGGCAAACAATGCTTCAACTTCCGCGCTATCAACACTGGACTTTTTTGCTTTCTGGCAGTCGGTTAGGTCGGTCGAAAGGTCACCCGGCTTGGAGGTGCAAGTCAAAAGTTGGTTATCAGTGAAATCGTGAATAGGTTGAAAGCATCCGGTAGACGGGACGGCACCACTGACACTCAATTTGGAAAGAGCAAGTGGTAAGTTATTTCGCTCATCTAGGTGGGGGGAGAAACAAATGTGAAACCGAGAAATTCACTGATGTCTCAGACCGTCACAAAAGCATACATCGAAATGTGAGAAGACTAGGGATGTGCTACTCATCAGCAACATTCAATGGAGTGTTTCTCAATTGACCTGTGCCCTGTTAGTAACACGAACAGAGGTTAGATCAAACAATACAATCGTGCACTCCTTTGTGATTCACCGACCGATTTTGAAGCATGGAACTGAAGGCATGAAGTTGTGATCAACCGCAAATAAATTAACTTTGATCCTATGGTTCATGGAGAAAGTTACCTTCTGTTTGGAACCCTGGGGTGAGCTCAATTCAACTTACCTCCAGGGAATTCTGGCGAATCGGAATTGAGGGGCCATGCATTAGTCCGCGAACCGCTCAAGTACCGACGAGAAGGGTCTGAGTCTGTGACAAGGGTGGAGTGGGTTTGTTGCCCGGTGATTGCGCGCGGTACGGAAGAAACTGTGGAGCTATTTTGTAGGGACCAACCGGTGCAACTGGGTGCAGCAGTGCTCCCGGGCTCGCCAAGTAAGGAATTGGAGCCTGCTGTTCCCGAAAAGTCAGATATCGACCACTAGAGAGACACAGATAAAGAAAAGGATACATCAGTCAAGGTAACGAGGACATCGGCAAACCACAGACAATATTGCAATTATTATCATTAAAAATATTGTCCACTAACAGATATTCCACAGTAAGGATGGAATTATAACGTTTCCTTACAGCATCAGTTCAAACAACCTGAGATTCAATATGGAAGTAGCTGGACCGAGTTTATCTATATAGTAGGAGATTCATTATAGCTCCCAATCAGTCGGCATAGGCACAAGGAAAAAGAATTCGAATGAAGCTGGAATTGAGGCAACTTCGTGTTGCGTGGTCGCTCGAATCCCCAAGGCCCGAGTCGCGTTTGCTAATTTGAGACACCTATGGTGTCAAATTGGTGTATCCTTGAATCTCAAGGGGCGTGTGTATTCGACCACAGTGCGGGCTGTTTTGTATGACTGTGAGACTCGGCCTGTTCGACCAGCGGAACTGAGACGTCTTCAGGTGCTCGACAATCGTTTCCTCAGAACCACAGATCATGTGGGTTGGTGTCGGCGAATCCGTAAGGAGGCAATTAGAAAGCGAGCTTTCGGTTGTTCAACGGGTATTTCCATTGAAGCGGAATGGCCCAAGTGGTAAGAGCGCGAATTTACTCACCGGAAGGTTCGTAGTTCGAACCCGACCTCTGCTTCACGAATTCCCCTGTCTAGGCTTGGGTAACTTAGCAGTATCCTCGTACCTCCTTCGGATGGCATGGCAGCCAGGCACTGAACGGGTGCCACAGCTGAACGATTTCATTCTTTTCACTTCCATTGAAGAATGTCTCCAGCACCAGAAGCTGCGTTGGTTGGGACATGTGTTACATATGCCAAACCATCGTCTGCCGATGAAGTGCTGTTTTCCATGCTCAATTCAGAGTGCCGGATGCACAGAGGTGGCCAACCTTGACCTGGCAAAGGGCTATGAAGGGAATTACGAAACGCTTGGGTGCTGTCGGTGCTACTCGCCTTCCAGGATGGGGACCGCGTGATCCCCACTGTGCCTGGTTGGATACGCTGCGAGATGTGGCTGCCAACCGATGTCAGTGGCGACCTTGTTGTTAGTTTCTACCCAGACTGCCTGTATGAGTGTTTGGAGGTTTGGTCACCGCGGAATGATTGTAGTAAGCTAGCACTAAGTACGCGTTGCATACATGCGGCTACCACCCAGAAGTCTCCCATAGTGCGAAAACTAGAAAACTAAGATTGCTCTGCACGTCTCAGCGAAAGACCACAACCTTTCGTCGTTAGTTAATCGATGAGCCCCGGGTAACTCAAAGGGATTTGTTAGTGCAGATGGAATGGTGTTGGGGAGGATGTTTCAGGTTGTCTGTTGCACATCCTTTCTGCTATCAGGGCTTTTGAGCATACTTTTCGCCCCTAAGTTAATAACAAACTACGGTTCACCTGTGAGCATCATACATCAATAGTTTCCAACGGTATTCACCTTCCATCTTCAGGGCTCATGCTCACAGTCGGCCTACAGCCTCCCTTCCGCACTAACGACAAGGTTGTCCCTGGATTAAATATGCACAAATCCCGACTACTACTTACTTCAACCATAATCTACACTGTCGTCTGAGTTAACAGGATGATCGCAGCGAACTAACAGGTTGTCAGATATCGACAGACTCATCTTTCGACTGACCTACACCGAGATTGAGGCGTTTGTCCGCTCGGCTGTTTTGCTATTCTTGACGTAACAGAACTTATACATAATATGTATCGCCAAGATCGTGGCAAGTGAAACATGAGATGGGCAGCAAATCTAGTTTAAGAATAGTATGAGATTCAGCCAAGACTGATACCCTTGTAAACACCTACATAGTTTGCGAATGTGTATTTCACTACATGTCTTTTCTTTGTATTTCAGCTGATCACTTCTTGTGTGAACCGGTCCGTTTTATTCCACGAGTCGTCCGCTACTGGTTCCTCCTTCGCGTCAGGGTAACAAAAGCCCCCCCCTCCCCGCACCAAACGACCTAGTAGCACTCGAGGCCAGATTCAATCGATGTTTGATGAGGGTTTCCAAAGCCACTAACTAACTGCAATTAGTCTCCACCATAGAAGATTGTGCTGCATGCTTGAAACCCCCCGGGAAGAATCAGGTACCCCATTGTCAAAAAGTTACAATCACCGAGTCGTCATCCTTATCCTGGAGATAGCAACATAAGATGAGGAGGATTTCATCGTCAAAAACGGATGCATTGGGTAAAAGACACGCACAACAGCAAAAACCCACCAGTATAAACTTTTGAGAACTCAGAAACCCAGATGTATTCTTGGATTTTCCTTGAGTATCATCTAAATTCCTGATATAGTCGAATAAATCAGCAGTTTCAGGCGCAATGGCCGGCTAATTGTGAACGTCGTTCCAAACAGTATGAGGACCATACGATAGATCTGATACACCCTCATGAAGGACAACGAATAAGTCATCGATTGCGAAACTGTAAACACTTGACCAAAAAACACTGAGAACTTAAGTTGCCTGCGAAGACTATTGTTGAACCTGCAAACACCTATCCTTATAAACATGTGTTTACAGGCCCTCCGTTTACAGATTCCATAGTAATGTCTCAGTTGTCTATACGTTCGTTTTGTGGACCGACCGACTGCTTCCATAGTCCTAGATACACAAACTTTTCCTATGTTGATGTCCTGCTTCCAACGGCTGAGTTCACCAAGCCAGTTCACCAAGTCACCAAGATACTGCAATTCAAGGATCGCCAGGAAGTTTCTTCCCATCGCTTAGGTAGATGAACAAGAACATAACTGTGAAATCACGGCGCATGAAAAGAGCACGCAGGGTCAGCGGGCTTAGAAAAACTGATGCAATCGCGTGACACGACTGCTGCTGCGCGGATATCCATCGAAAAAGCATTAATTGCCTGATCCGAATGTGACATTCGCAACAGGTGCAAGTACCTGAGCATACATCAGTCGAAACTCGGTAAGAACATGCACATCACTTTCCTTCGCACAAGCGCATTTCCGACAAGGCTGTATTTTTTATCGGATTATAGATGGAGGGAAAATATTCGGAAGGTTAGTTTGTTGGAACACCAATATGAGTTCGGAGGCAGTTTAAAACTAATTAGCCACAGAATTCCAAAGGTGGCCGTATGCACAGTAGGAATTTAAGCAAAAGACCGAAACACTAATGAATCGCCCACAACCTACTTTTCTGTACAGTTTCTCTCATTCCGACGATTTGTAAAGGCATACAATAGGTGTGAACGCGGACAGTTAGTGATAGACACATTTATTTCTATTATACTGCTCATCGCTCACCTGATTCGTGCTACTTGTTGCCTCCACACCAGTAGTGAATGCACCGGTGGCGGGATCCGTGACTCTTGCGGCATCAAACATTGGAGGTGGCCACATCTGTCCAGCTTCCGAGCCCCCAACGACGGATTGCTCGGTATGTTCTAATAATTGTTCCAAAATTACGTTCTTAGACAGTTCTACTCACCTTCTGCAGATGCGTCGAGAGTGGTTTCTGTGGCGAGGTTTAGTGTAACTTTACTGTTGTTCCAGCGGTTTGAAGACAAGGAACCTATATTACTGCTACCAGTACCTGGTTTGCCTAAATAAAAGATGTGGGAAAAACGAAAGCAGATGAATTTGATGCCGAAAAACGTGCACTTATACATGTCGGTCTTCAGTTAAGTCCAGGTTGATAATACAACAAACAGCATTCTCCAGTATAGACGTAATGCACCACTTAAGAACATCATAAACGAGATTCAGTCGGGTTCCAGGTGAGTCTTCCGCCAAAACCGTGATATTTGGCTCGAAACTGATGCCTTTTGAGAACCCAGTCTCCAATCCCCAAAAAAGAACATCTTGGGCGTTCCGGAGGAGCAATTTCTTATCTCACCCAAGATCAGGATATGAAATTCACACCTTAGATTTGACCGTATTAAGACACCGAGCAGGCGCAGGACTATTAAACACAGTTCATACACATTCGCTTAGAACGTGGTTTAGGTTATCAAACATGATTTTCAGGTGCAAGAACCTTAAACACTCCAGTAATCTCTGGAAAAAAACAGACCCCATCCAAGAGCAGGTACTGCCTTGAAGAGAGCACAGTAGTTTCCCGCCATCCCCGAACCGAATTCCATTACGGCAGAGATGACCGTTCAGCTGTAGCACCCTCTCATTGTCTAGCTGTCATGCCAACTGGAGGCACGACGGCTGGGACACTGCCAGGTTACCCAAGTCTGGACAGGGGCAGTCGAGATGCTGGGGTTAGGTTCGAACCACATACCTTCCAGTCTGTAAGCTGACGCCTTAGTCACTAAGCCAACTTGAGCTCACCATTACTGTAGTCTACCAGGACGTGAAGGCCTGATAATGAACACACCAAAGAAAAGTTGGACTCAACATGAGAATCGCAGCTAAGCTCGAAAATCATCTACTTAACGTTCGGTCCATTTACAAGAGAATTTCTAACTTTTTGCAGGCCAATAGTTTTAAAACTCTTCAGCTCATTGTCCCATGGCACCTAGTGTATGACACCATCACCAAAGATAGACCTCGGGTTGTTAAGAAACATCCTGACTTTCAGGATGTTTTATAAACACCTTAAAAAGTGTAAATGGTGACACATTAATACCATCAGGAGACGTCTCTAGGAAGAATAAATAACACCACTCCCCAAAAGGTGCTATTTAAAGTGCGATCCCACTGAAGACCAGCGCCGAGAAGTCCATTACTTCGTTCTAAAATATTGCCCATACGTCACCTGTAGTGGCTGATGCTGGTAATCCATAAATCCCTATATCAAATATCCCCCACAGCAATGATGACGCACATTGCAGTAGCTATGGCACTGGATTCAGTAATTCTGAAAGAAGGCTCCGGTGTTTTAGACAGGTCACACGTCAGAAACCTTCCAGAAATTAGCACGGGACAGATTTGCTGTTGAGTGAACTTGCCGATAGGATACAAACAGAGTTGTTTGTCGAAAAGGGGTCTGACTAGGCATTAGCAAATCTCCAGATAATCCAATGTGGTAATGCACAAACCATGTGAACGTCGTTCATTATCAGACATAGCGAGTGCGGTGTTCTCAATTCAACGTGAATTAGGTCAGCTAGCGCTGACTGGTTTGCACCAAACTGGGACACCGGACCACAACGAAGCCTACTCCGGGCAAACAAGTCAGTATTAACAAGAGGGGGTGTAGTCATATACAACAAAACGTCTCTTGGTGGCTCAACTGGAGGTTTATTTATGAATGTAGCTCATTTTCCTGGTGAGACTTCGACGAAGCGTTTACAGTCAATTTGTGCTGAACTCAAGTAGGAATAGAAAAATAGTTCAAAATGACACCCCAAGGATGATTCAGATGCAATCATAAAAAGGTACACTGTGAAAATGTCTTCTACCTTAAAAAGCTTAAGTTCTCGATCAAATGAGTTAGTCTGGTAGATTGTTGATCTCTGGTAGATTACGGGTCAAAATCAAACAATATCGCAAACACCATAAAATATGCTCTTCTTACGTGTCCACAGACCAAACTTCATTCCTGGAACACATGGCCTCGTAAGACCTCGCTTCCAACCCCCCACCCACCCAAAAAAAAACACGGTGGACTGACCGGATCGAACCCAGATAAAACCATGGTGAATAGTGGAGACGCTTCAACCTATGTTTCGACAGCTACTACAGTATGAGAAACGGTAAGCGGAGACTGAGATGACGAAAGTGAAGGGTTGGGTGACACAGATAGCTGAAACTGATGTATATACACACAAGCTATGGCTAGGTATGCCATGCCGGGCAAAAATCCGAGCGATACACAGTTGGTCGCTTTTCGAAAGTGGACAGGCTATATAAAGCGATTCACTGAGCTGGTTAACTCAACAAAATTGCAATTCCCACGCATGTTCTAAGTAGTTCCTCCTGAGATAGAACCCAACCCGGACCAACATGGCCTACATGACAATCGGTAAAGAAGGGTGAATTTATCATCTTTTGGTCCGAAACTAAGTTCGTTCTCTTCCGAAAGAGGAACCTTCATCGCAACTGCAGAGGTTAGACAACGGTATTAAGTGAACTGGGACTATGGTTGAGATACTTATTCAAAGATGTTAGACACATAGAGGATACGTATTCAGGGTGAGAACGAATAACCAGAACGGTAGTCCCCGTATATCACCAGATATAGAGTTGATGAAAAGAAATCTGAATAGTGGTGCCCCACTGTGGTAAATGGGTATAGATCGATAAGCTCATGTTTAGATAGTAAAACACTTACCTGGAGTCCTATTCCACGGGGTAATACTGGTACTGAGTGAGACACCAGCGCCGTTGACCTGGGACATCAGTCAGCTCCAGCAAATTTCCAACCAGGTTACGCGCATGAGCATTACAGAGACAAAGAATACTTGGCCAAAACTGGCCAGCCGTCACCCGGAACGAGCTGAAATTAAAAATAATTAAGCGTTACTGAAGATGGAGACTTTGCAGCGTTCGCCTCATTATCTCGTCGTCGTCATCATTATAAGAGATAGCAACATCAGTGTTGACACTGATGCTTTACTGCCGTACGACCATAAAGTTCAGCTAGTTATATTCAAAGTCGTAGAGTTAGAAGAAGGGGAAAAGAGTGGGTGGGGGAGGGTACCCAATGCTAACCTGAGTCAAGTATTCTGAGTCGCCTACACTTCCAAACGCTCAATCAGTCTATTTGGAAAGAAACTGACGGCACGAAAGCCACTAACGTCGACCAGTCGCAAGCACAGACGGGGCCACGAAGACCCCATTCTGGAAGCTGTACAACAGCAACAACATACAAACTCTTCGTAATCTCTTTCACGCCCTTCTGCCAGGTCGTACATTGTCCACCTCGCGGTTCGCGACATTCTAGAGGAGCCACGGAGAACACCCTTCTTGCTAAACGGCATGCGTAATTCATGACTGAGCCACCGCAGTTGATGGTGCTGGAGGTTTTCCGTGATTAAAACACCTGCCGCATAACCAAATACCTATTTTCTAATCGCCTCTTTACTAATCTGCTGACCACATCCAAAACCAGCAACGCTTGAGGCAGCGGTGGTCAAAAGCCTGAAGACGCCTTACATCATCTGTCCACAAGGGCCACGTCTCCCACCCATACAACACAGCCCTTACTGTAGGCTGGTACACGCGTTCCTTGAGATTAGCAATGCGTTTTTGACGCCACAAGAGACGCAAATTAGCAAACGTGATTCGGGCCTTTGAGATTCTTGCTCTTTTTGACTACAAACTTCCGCCAGAGCTAATACAACTACCGAGATAGGCGAAATTCTCCACAACCTCAAGTGATACTGCTTGAATTGTAAAGGGTATGTTCAGAGACTGGACGTTGTAAGGCTTGACTTTGAACTTTGAAGGTGAAAAAGCGCATGCCAACAGATGGCTTGATGAGCGTCAGTATATTCAGCAGGCCTTGTGCTTCATTTCGGACTTCGACATTGTTTGCGTACTCCAGATCAACAAGGTTCTAACGGGCAACGATTGAACACCGGGGTTTCGAAAACTTTTCAGCGTTCGGCTTAATATTTCATCAATGACGAAGTTGAACAAAAATGGAGGGAGTGGGCACACTTGCCGGACATCACTTTCTGTAGAGAAGCTTCTGGAAAACTCACCACTATCATAGGCCCAGACGTGTGAATATAGGGATCGGAACATGTTTACAAACCTCTGGTACATACCCTGGTGAGCAAGTGTAGTTAACAGCACTGATCGATCGACAGAATTAAACGCACCCTTGAAGTCAAGGAACACCAAGATTGTGGTCGTCTGTACATGTGGCGCTGCTGAGGAGTGTGAAGATGTGGTCCGCGCAGCCTCTACCCGTTCAAAATCCCGCTTGATTTTAACGAGTCGAGATTTTGCGTGCCACCCCAACACGGCGAAGAACCAATAACGCCAGAAGCCTTGTCAGAACAGGAGTTGAACACTAAATTACTAAATTCACTGCGAGTATACGTTTTGAAAATAGGCACCACTATCAATTCAATCTGGGACGGTCCGTTTCTCTCATATGGACCCAAATAGGCTAGACGGGCATTGGCTGAAAAACTCTGGCGGAAGGTCGTAAGGACTAGCAGCACGATGACGCTTGAATAGAGAAATACAATCAGACACTTCTGAGACTGAAGACTGGCATTCCGAATTGGAAGCAGCAGGTGAACAGCTGAAATGCTGTTCGAAGTACTGTGCCGAGTGGTCCAAACCTTCCGCTTTCCTGCATAGCAGGGAGCCATTTGGGGGGTTCCGATGATCAGTCGAACGAATCAAGTGGAACAGATAACGGAATTTTCCGGCAATCTTCGTACCTTCCATTTCTCCGACCTTTCCGGTCAATCAAGCTTCTCGAGTAACATGGACACCCAGTTTCACCTGATGTCAGATGATGCGTCAGGAGGAGTTTCGGTCACGACCAGCAGGCTCTGGGCCTCCAGTAGAGCTACGTTCCTATCAGAGATCCAATGTGTGAATGAGGCTGTACCGCAAACTGAAGTTCCGGCTCTGAGTAGCACTGTGGATATCTGTTCCTAGTGGCGGTTGGTATCCGAAATCGGACCGTCTAGCAGGCGTTCGAGAAGCTGGTTCTGATGTTTTTGTTTGACTTCCGGGTCAGTCAGCTTTTCAGTGGCTAAGCGAGGTGTGCACGTTTTCAGTAGACCTGAAAAAAAGCACTGAAAAGCAGCCACGTACAAGTGCACGATCGCCGGTAAGGAGCGGCAAGTAATGATGGACCCTCGCCACCGATAACTGATGTTGATGTATTCTTTTTGAATTCGATGCTGGTTCGTTTGTGGGCACCACGTTATCGGGAAGTTCCAGCTGCTCAGGAAATTGATATTGCAAAGGGATAGCCTATGACTGTGGAATATCTGAACCGGGCGACCTCCGTGGTCTGTGCATCTAGTGTGTAATCCAAAACGACCGCTAAATCGGGCCTCCCACCTGGGTGTTTACATCACTAGCAACGACTATATCTGAGCCTTTAGCAGCTGTAAGAGGGCACCTAAGGCGTCATAAAAACTGTCTTCGGCAGATTCAGTTACAATCAGTTGGGGCTTATGCAGACACAATAAACAGGGCGCTATGGACCTCACTTCCTCTAGACGTTGCCAACGAACCGCGCAGAGGCGGCGATCAGTGGGGTATCCAATGAAGCAGAGACGCTTCCACTCAGTTGCTCAATACAATACCTACCCAAGCACATACGGATTCAACGGCTACTGCATCCCCAGAGGTGCGCAGCATGAATCTGGAAGAGAGTGAGGGGGCAGGTAATCTAATCACAGTAATTGCACCCTGCATCCTCGTTTCCAACAGATAGCATACATCAATCAAGATGGAGTTCAGAGTGAGAGCAAGAGTCATCCATTTGTCTGCTTGCTTGAGCGTGCAAACGATAAAGGCGGCTAAGTAGACAGACTTTCGGGGTTTGAAAATAAACTTCGAATTGTCAGGGGTTGCTACTGAACTCCGACGTAGAGCAACTACAGCTGAGTGTGATACACGGCGATCAAAACGGTCAGTCATAGTGCTGAAACCCGCGGAGAGCATTCAAGTTTGGGTGGGGTAAGGGTGAACGAGGAAAAAGGTGAAAGTGTAAGGAGGCGTCAGTAGTAGCACATTTTCGCTTATCCACCCTGCTGAATGCAGCAAGTAAGGTGACCCGGCTGGTGCTACCACGCGACGGCTGATGTGGCATGATATTATTGTTAGTTGTAAATGTCACGGTTGTACGCGAGCAAGGATACTGCCAATGCGCCCACACCTGAAGGGAATGAGGATCAGGGTTCTTAACCAAAGCCTTCGGCTCAAAAGCCTGACCACAAAGCAACGGTGTTTGACGATAAATGAAAGTGTATTTTTGTTTATACAAAACGAGTTGCCACACATGTTCCAACGCCCCAACCTAAGATACCAGGTTGAGTCGTCAGACCTTTGATTACTGACCAACCTGGTATGAGGGACTCTGTGAGTGCCAACGGACACAGTATAGCTCACACCTGAAGGGAATGAGGATCAGGGTTCTTAACCAAAGCCTTCGGCTCAAAAGCCTGACCACAAAGCAACGGTGTTTGACGATAAATGAAAGTGTATTTTTGTTTATACAAAACGAGTTGCCACACATGTTCCAACGCCCCAACCTAAGATACCAGGTTGAGTCGTCAGACCTTTGATTACTGACCAACCTGGTATGAGGGACTCTGTGAGTGCCAACGGACACTACCCAGTATAGCTCAATGGGTAGCCGAGACACAAATCGCCAGAGCACGGTAAGGTCGTCTCTTCGTATCATCTCTAATAGGCAGAATTCAGCACCGAAACCGCCTTAGCACTTGCAGTTAGGCGCTGCTACGGCCAACCCTACCCCGCATGTTACTCGCCAGAAGATTGGGTGGCTTCCCGGTCCAGCTACAAGGCGATCGCTGATCGGCCAAAAGTGCGGACCCAATAGCCAACCATGATCCAGTATCCGCCGAATGCCGATTGCCAATGATGCACCCACAAGGCGCTGGGACTTCCAAAATGTTGCCGCTGCATGCACTTTATATACGGCGAGCTGCACATGTTTTTTGCTTGCCTTTGAGTACTTAATACAAGTTGTGCATCCATGGTAGTTCTTTTGAGGAGAACACTAGCTCGCATGGTTCAGACCGAGAAGTATGCTGAGAAAACACCGTTATTGCAATTGGTGAACGGACACTCACGATGGTTATCGAATTCAGCTAGCTCCGAGAATTATTGCAGCAGCAACAAAAGCAGTTTCATCATCATCATCATCATCATCATCATCATCATCATCATCATCATCATCATCATCATCATCGACAGTATGACATCAGTGTTCAACACCGATGCTTCACTGCCGTACAACCATGACTTATTTGAAAGCCTTATTGTAAAGAAAAGAATAAAGAATAAAGAAAAGAATAAAGAATAAAGCAATTTGGGAGAGCAAAACTGAAGCTTATTGAATCACTGACCCAAAGAGTACATGTTCAGGCATCAGCAGACAGTACAAGTGAGCCTTCTGTTTTCTGAGCGAATGCCGCCACGGCCTCATTCACGGAGTTCACATTCGACCCTTCTCTTGGTCACACTTAGACTCCTGGTTCAAGCAGTCTGAAGGTATGTTCGAAAATGGTTTTTCCAAGTTCGACGAAGGATGGAAAGTCAGACTGTCGCTGCGAATACTCGACAAACCAGAGCACAAACGGTATACAAACCTCATTCTCCCCAAGATACCTCGCTATCTCAGCCTTGATGAGACGGCCAGAATGCTGTCCCAGATTTTCGGTGATCAAACTTCACTGACCAATACCCGTTACAAATGCCTCGAGCTGGTCAAGAAAGATGAGGACGATTTCATCACATTTAGTTGTTTTCTATCGGAGCGCTTCA